CCCCCCCCCCCCCCCCTTTTTTTTTTTGTAAGTGTTTTACAGCGCTCGCAACTGCATAAGGTCATATGAACGCGCGGGACCCACCAAACATTTTCAGATGGTAGGAAATTTTGAATTTTACCCGGGTAGAGGCCGAAGCCTATCGATTTTGGACCACCAAGAGATCTTAAGCGTGCGCAACTTGCACACGGGACCTCCAAGATTTTTCGCCCTTGTCTGAGAAGGCTAGATCTAGGGGTAAATCTTACCTACCATAAGATCAGGGATGTGGCTGAAAGACAGCAGTAAGAAAGAGCTTAGCTAAGGAGAAGCAGTAGAAAGGCTGAAGAAATAGTCAGGAGTCCAGAGGAGGGAGCAAAGGAGGCGAGGGGTGGGGGCAGAAAGTGCACGTTGAGCTTCATTCGTTTCGTTAATAGATCTAGATCTACTGTCAACTCTATTTTCGTTTAATTTTTGTCATTTAAGTTTCTATTCCTCGACATCTGCGCCAGTCGAGCCAGTTTTTATAACATTTTTAAAAATCCTGGCTTCGGGTCTTTTCATATTACTGAATATATGAAAATTTCTTGCTGCTATAATACTGGTTTCTACATGTAAATCCATATTATTAGAAAACATTATATTTTATACTCATTTTTTAAAGTTTCTTTTCTGTTTTAGAAAAGAAAGCAGTGTTTGTAAAGATCAAGACTGACAGACAGCAACTGTTAGTAAGTACGTATACATGGGTTTATCATCCCTTTCAACACCGTAAGGTTATCTAAGAGTCGGAACCTGGGTTGAGAGCCTCATGGACTGAGAGCCTTGAAAACTTCCCCAAACGACCAACGTTAAAAACCTCCCAGTCTGGGATTCGTCTTCTCCGTGGTTCAGCATGCTACACACTTTGCCAACAGAGCGTCTCTGCCAAACCGAAAGAACAGGGGTGTAGTATAGAAAGAGCAACAATACCTACCATTAGATGAACACCCCTCAAACCGTCCACACCTCAAAGTCACAACCCTTCAAACTTTGACTAGTTCAGAACACTCCTTGAAAATTCGAATAAGAATTATGTGCTCCATTGTCCAACATACCTATTGAGCTTACGGTGCGCCTATAGAACATGCTTCAAGCTGATTGGAAACAGTCATTTTTACATGTATTTTTACAAGGCATGTCTCGTATGCCAAGATGCACATAGTTGATATTTTTCACAGAATTGAAAAAGCGTATATTTACTTTTAGTGTTTTAAGTCTGCTTTTTCTTCTTTCGCCACGTAAAAAGTATTTCACTTTCAAATTAATGTGTTTGCTTCTTTTAAATGGATATTTCTTGTACCTTCTACAATTTCAGATATACTCTTCAATCAAGGTTAAAAGTAAACCTTACCCCCCCCCCCCACCCCCATCCCGTTCGGACCTTTATTGATCTAGCACATGAATCGGGATCTCCATAACTCTTTGTGGGACCACACTCAAGTTGCCGTGACCTCTTTTGCGAAAGCCGTTTGAAACTATTTTTTTAAACTAAAGGGGTGATGGGATGGGGCAAAATTTTCTCTTACTACCCTTTAGCACTTTGTTCGGGTGTTATTACCCGCATAAAGGCTACTCAAGAAGATAGTGTTCTGAATTTAAGTTCCATTTCCGATAGAGTCGAACCAAAAAGAGGGAAAGTCAAAACAATTCCCCATCAAAATCCAACTTTGAGAAGATCTCCGAGGTGATTCGAATCAGGGTCATCCGTATTGAAGCCTGGCATAATACGAACCGAGCTATCGGTGTCCCATCAATTGTTTAAATGAGCAACTTACCAAGTTTGAGCGAATGGTTTACGCATGGCGGAAGTTCTCCCGAGAAGGTAGGATCGTTAAGACTGTCGCTTAAGACGTTTCTCTTTTGGACATCGGGAATAAAAACGTTCTCCGCAGCACCTGCATTGACATCGTATACTTTCTCCTCCACTGACGGAATGGTACCGTTGCAGTATTTTCGAATTTCTTTCTGGATGAGCTGAGAGTCAAACCGGAATAAATCACTGTATATGTCGTCTTGGGCGCCCGGAGGACCAAGTTCCATGCTGAGTTCTTGGCCCTGGTCATCCAACATGGTTCGACTTCCGTTTTTGATCTCTCCTAGAATCTTGGCCAGCATTTCTGGAGACATTTGTCCAGATTGAACCAATTCCCTCTCAGAGTTTGTCAGAAGGGAGTTGAGCGGCTGTCCTTCCCCGAGGAAAAGTGCTTCCTTATTACGGCTATCTCTTGACCACCGTAGCCTGTCCCTCAGTCTTCGATCGCTGCTGTGTTGAAAGTAATTGATGGCGCAGAAAATAAGAATATTGATAACAATACCCACGAAGACAGCACAGATTGTGATTTTCTGTTGTGCCCAGTTCTTTGTTTTGAGACAAGACCTCAGTTTTCGCTTACACGACATTTTGAGTCTTCGGTGATCTAGATGGGCTTCTCCAAAGTTCTATGAAAACAGAAAGTTCAAACCGGAGTCTGACTTTTGATCACGATCCAAATTGTCACGAAATAGTTACTCCGGCTGTTCACATCGAATCCACATTTTCCTTTTGAAAAAAAGATGGTGTTTCATGCATATCCATACCGCTATACAATTGCTGCAAAACCCAAGCATCAGTTGGGCCTTTCGCATTCCTTACATTTCAACAATAAGCGCTGCGGTTACAAACTGTAAAATACATCCTGACGGACAGTTGGCACAACAGTTTACGTCACAAAAACACTCCTGCTTCTGTTACTTCATATCTTATGAAATCCCCCTGGCGTCTTGGGCATTTCAATAGGAAATTGTCACGTGATCCTGTTTATCCGAATAATTGAACAAGATAAAGGAACAAAGATTAAGAACTTGAAAAAAACCCACCTAAACCAATTTTAATCCTGTAACTTTTGGGACTGGGTGGGTGTCACAGACTGATTGTGCGAGCAGTATTGTGGGTGTGCGCGTGTGGGCATGTTTATTTCTTTGTGATCATGTGTGAGCGCATGCTGCACTTGGAAGGGGTGTGGTTGTGGAAAAAGAAATAAATTGACTGAAACTTTTACGGTTCGATACAAATGAGATAAGAATCCGTAACAGTTGCAACAATGGTTTATTTGTTTATGTAGAGTCTACAATAATTGACTCTTCCAGCCCCGCCGGTATTGGCAACTGATAACCCCGGAGAACTCATAAAACAAGCCATGCTTTTGTAACAAAATCCTAGGATTTGGAAGCAGATGTTTATCAACCTATCGAGGAAAAGGAAACACGTAAACTACTTTGACAGCGCAAACCAACCCTTGTTTTGTTTCTTCCGTATTTGTTAAAGGTATCAATCATTCTGAAGAAAATAAAAAGTTTAATAATAATAATAATGCTGGGTGTATATAATTTACCAAGGGAATGATCTCGATATCTGCACATAATATACAAGGGGAACGATAAGCAATTTAATCTAAGAACGTTAAAAACGACGACAACAACAATAACGCTAAAAAGATTACCCCCCCAACCCCCCCCCCCAACAAAACAAACAAAAACAAAAACAAAAACAAAAAAAACAAACAAACCCAACCCACCCCCGCTTGAACCCCCCCCCCCACACACAAAAAAAAAAACCCAGGGTGTTTTCTTTGTTGGGATTTTGCGAGGGGCAGAATGAGAGCTGTGGGTGCGTTCACGTTGGTGTATTAAAGAGAGGCGGGAGAGGAGGAGAGAAAAAATAATTGGTTTTATAATATCCCCAATGGTTTTCCATAATAACGGGAGAAAGTATCCAGAAATCGTATACAGTAGAATCTGTTCTAAGGGACACCTGTTCAAGACATTCACCAGTGCAAACTGCCACTTTTCGGTCCCCCCCCCCCCCCCCCCCCTTTGCATTTTTTGGAAATATGACATTGTCCAATTCGTCCACCGGTCGAAGACAAACCTTTTCTCCTCAACAATGGGTGGCCATCTTGGGTTATTTCGACTGTACTGTACTTTGATTAGGTACTCCTATTAGTCCTACGCACCAAGTACAAAACTAAAAAGTGCTCTGTGCACGGGGCGTCCACAGGGGGGTCGGGTCGGGTCAGGTCTGTTTGCTAGCCAGACTGAGGGCGCAAAGCGGCTATCGTGGCAGAAGCCCACCGCGCCCGACTCGCCGCCTCAAAAACAAACGCATTTATATTCAGGCGACGAGCCGAGCGATCGTCCTCGACCCGACCCAATCCTGTCTGTAATATGGGGTGCCCACTACGGACGGGATCGGCCGATCGCTTGAAACTGGGCCCGATCCAGCTGTAGTGGTCACCCCGTGGGCACTCCGTCAAAAGTTTGTTATCAGGCGACGAGTAGGGCGATCGACCCGACCCGACCCAATCCCACACGCAATGGGCACCTGGTATAACTTGCGCTTTGCCGTCGCACGAAGAAAACCCGAGTTCAGTTCCCGAGTGGGGAGAATTCTATAAAGCATCCCGGTTTTTCTACTAAGACTTTGTTTTCCTTGACCCTCTCTGTTGGGTTATCCCTGACAGGCAGTGTCGAAGCCTGCTTCCTAAATCATGATCTAAATTGTGTCGATAGGGGCGTAAAAACAAAAACATTAACCCCCCCAAAATATTTTTAAAATACCAAAAAAAAACACAACCCCCCCAAAAAACAACAACCCAACCCCAAACAACAACCCCCAACGTATTGTATTGAAAACGTAGTACATGTAGGCCTATCTAACGAAATCCTGGTTTTATATTTAAACTAGAAAAAAATCTTTTAAAGATAATTTCTTTTGTGTAGGCCCTATTTTCATTAACTTATATAAAGCCTAACATGATAGAAAGATGGATATTTACAGTATAATTGAATCTTCTGAAATGCTGATTGATCTGCAAACTGACATAGGCCCTACTTAATTCGGACGGGTGACAGACGGGAACCCCCCCCCCCCTCCTTTCTAGTTGACAGCTCTTTTAACTCAGAAAAACGATAACCTCAAAGGGTTTTCACGAGATAAATAATTGTACAGAAAAAAATCATGGGGGTCTTTGTAGAAAGCATTTTCTTACGCTTCCCAAGTTATGGTGGAAAATCTTCACCCGTCACCCGTATCAGGCTCATCAAACCAAGACATTCGAACAGAAAATTTGCAAATTTGAATAGACTGAACCACTCTTGCACCATTAATAAGCGGGACCTCCGAGTTTTAACCACGTCCACCTCTGATAGGACCGAGCCAAATGGGAAAATTCGTGTAAAGTGCCTCTCCAAAGGACAAAACGTCGGACCAATCTGAACCTAGAACCCCCCAAACCCGTAACCTCACGATTAAGAGTCCTGTAGCCTGACCACTGGTCTATCGACGCCACTAAACCAGTTCCCATCCTTCCTCCCTGAATGAAGGATACAACCTGTATTAGTTTGTCGTTATTTGTTGTTGTTGTTGTTGTTGTTGTTTTTAATGACGAGTCGGAAAGATAGCGTCTCCTTTTCGTTACTTTAATTTCTTTTTTTCCCCCCAACAGCGGCATACGGGAAGGGTGGCTTTAGGGACAACTTTTCGTCGATGGCAAGGCGATAGGGGAACTGACCTCCACAACCACCACAGCAAGCCCCC